AGTAGTTAAGTGTTTTGTGGTGATAGAATGTGGAGTAGTGGTTTCTGAAGAGGTGGTAGTCTCTATAGAGCTGGAGGTCATTGTGGTCTCTGGGGGAGAAGTGGCTGTTGCTGTTGTACTGGTTTCCAACGTGGAGGTTTGTGCAGAAGTAGTTAAGTATTTCTTGGTCGTTGGAAGGTGAGTGGTGGTAATTGTAGTACTAGTACTAATTGAGGAGCTCTCTGGGGAAGAGCTGGAGGGCTTCGTGGTCTCTGGGCCAGAGGGGGATGTTTGCTCGGGGGTAGAAAGGAGACTGGAACTGCTTGTGGGAGTTATAGATGTCACACTACTTGACGAAGCAGAAGCGGTGGTCATTGGTGGACTCGTTGGTGTCATGCTGGTTTCTGAAACACCTGTAGAGGACACTGTGCCCTCTGGAGTTGGTGTTGTGGTTTTCAAAATAGAAGAAGTTACTCTGGTCTTTGCTGATGCCGTAGAAGGCACTGAACTCATTGGAGAGCTGGCTGCTTCTGACGTGACGGATACAGGTGTGGTGGCCTCTGGAGAAGTAGTTAAGTGTTTTGTGGTGATAGAATGTGGAGTAGTGGTTTCTGAAGAGGGAGAAGTCTTTATAGAGCTAGAGGTCATTGTGGTCTCTGGGGGAGAAGTGGCTGTTGCGGTTTTACTTTTTTCCAATGTAGAGGTTTGTGCAGAAGTAGTTAAGTATTTCTTGGTCGTTGGAAGTTGAGTAGTGGTTTTTGTAGTACTACTACTAATTGAGGAGCTCTCTGGGGAAGAGCTGGAGGGCTTCGTGGTCTCTGGGCCAGAGGTGGACATTTGCTCGGTGGTAGAAAGAAGGCTGGAACTGCTTGTGGGAGTTATAGATGTCACACTACTTGACGAAGCAGAAGCGGTGGTCATTGGCAAACTCGTTGGCGTCATGCTGGTTTCTGAAAAAGCTGTAGAGGACACTGTGCCCTCTGGAGTTGGTGTTGTGGTTTTTGAAATGGAAGAAGTTACTCTGGTCTTTGCTGATGCCGTAGAAGGCACTGAACTCATTGGAGAGCTGGCTGCTTCTGGCGTGACGGATAAAGGTGTGGTGGCCTCTGGAGAAGTAGCTAAGTGTTCTGTGGTGATAGAATGTGGAGTAGTGGTTTCTGAAGAGGTCTCTGGGGCAGATGTGGTAGTTTTTGATGTGGTAGATGTCGTCAACATGGTTGCTGGAATTGCTACTCCTATGCTCTCTGGAATAGTACTTGTAGTTTCCATATGGGGAGAAGTCACCATGCTACTCTTTGGAGAAGCAGAAGCAGTGATCATTGGCAAACTCGATGGCGTCATGCTAGTCTCTGAAAAAGCTGAAGAAGACACTGGGCTCTCTGGAGAGCTGGCTGCTTCTGATGTGACAGATTCAGGTGTGGTGGCCTCTGGAGAAGTAGTTAAGTGTTTTGTGGTGATAGAATGTGGAGTAGTGGTTTCTGAAGAGGTGGTAGTCTCTATAGAGCTGGAGGTCATTGTGGTCTCTGGGGGAGAAGTGGCTGTTGCTGTTGTACTGGTTTCCAACGTGGAGGTTTGTGCAGAAGTAGTTAAGTATTTCTTGGTCGTTGGAAGGTGAGTGGTGGTAATTGTAGTACTAGTACTAATTGAGGAGCTCTCTGGGGAAGAGCTGGAGGGCTTCGTGGTCTCTGGGCCAGAGGGGGATGTTTGCTCGGGGGTAGAAAGGAGACTGGAACTGCTTGTGGGAGTTATAGATGTCACACTACTTGACGAAGCAGAAGCGGTGGTCATTGGTGGACTCGTTGGTGTCATGCTGGTTTCTGAAACACCTGTAGAGGACACTGTGCCCTCTGGAGTTGGTGTTGTGGTTTTCAAAATAGAAGAAGTTACTCTGGTCTTTGCTGATGCCGTAGAAGGCACTGAACTCATTGGAGAGCTGGCTGCTTCTGACGTGACGGATACAGGTGTGGTGGCCTCTGGAGAAGTAGTTAAGTGTTTTGTGGTGATAGAATGTGGAGTAGTGGTTTCTGAAGAGGGAGAAGTCTTTATAGAGCTAGAGGTCATTGTGGTCTCT